GGGAACGCCTCGAATCCTGACAGAAGAGCTGGAAGAGGTGGCTGTGGAAAGAGATGTCTGGGCCTCCCTGCTCAAGCTGCTGCCCCATGACCCGACTTTGGAACAAGCGGAATATAATGAATGGATGGATGATCAGCAGCACAAAGTGTCAACTCTCCAATTAAAGTGTCATTACAGTGATTATTCTGGTTAGAGATTCATGAGTCTAACAGCCTCAGGGTAGAAGCTGTTCCTCAGTCTAATGGTTCTGCACTTAATGCTCCTCAAACTCCTTCCTGAGGGGAGCGGGGAAAAGTGTGTGTGCTGGGTGAGTGGGGTCCTTCATGATGCAGGTGGCTCTCTTCCTGCATCTGGAGGTGTAGATGTCTGTGATGGTGGGGAGGCTGACTCCAACAGTCTTCTGTGCAGACTTCGCCACTCTCTGCAAAGCTTTTCTTTCTGCAGCTGTGCAGCCTCCATGCCACACGTTGATGCTGGAGCACAGGATGCTCTCCACTGCACACCTGTAGAAGGAGGTGAGGACTGAGCTTCCCAGACCAGCTCGTCTCAGCCGCCTGAGGAAGTAGAGTCTCTGATGAGCTTTCTTGATCAGGCTGGTGGTGTTGCTGCTCCAGCGGAGGTTGTCATTCAGGTGTACACCCAAGTACTTGTAACTGGAGACACTTCCACTGCAGATCATATGTTCAGGTGGGGTAGGTGTGTTTGTTCCGTCTGAAGTCCACGATCATCTCCTTCATATTGATGTGAATGTTGTTCTTCCTGCACCAGCTCTCCAGTTGTTCCACCTCCTGCCTGTAGCTGGACTCATCGTTGTTTGTGATGCAGCTGTTTATCAGTTGTGAGAAAGTTTAAGGCAGGGCTGGAGATGTCTCTTGTTGGAGCACCCATCTTGGTGTTTTCAGGATTTATGTGTTCATGTTTGTACAATCAAACATTTCAGTAGTACAATATAAACCCTTTGTTCTCTCCGTCAGGTGGTGCAGTGGGCAGTCTCATGGGCGGCTGGCTCACCAGGGGTCAGTTCAGACCCTTGCCTCAGATTCTGATGGAGATGTCGAAAGCCGAGAAGAAGAAGCTCGCCATCGAAGTGATCGTCATACTGGGCAGCCTGATCTGGAGGGACGCGGCTCAGCTGATAGCCCTGGTGATGGGGAACGCCACGCTCCAGCAGCAGGTCACCGCCACAGTGCACAGCTACGTCAAAAAAAACCTCAGAGCATAAGTGTGTTATCGTGACTGAGAGGTGGTGCTGCACGGACCCGACTGACCCTGCGAAACAAAAACCGACGTCTTCGTGTTGGTGCATTTAGTGCCTTACTGGAAACTGAGCAATAATGTTTCACTGCAGAACCCTCTGTTCTTCAGTCATGCAGCACAAATCATGTTTGATTTAAAATAAGTCACCATTAATTTTCACGTGTGCAGTTTCAAACTCTTGAAAAGAGATGAGCCTTAGCTTTTCAGCTGGAAGACAATCTTCCTGTCTACTGTATCAAGGTGCTTTATATGTGAATTTTAAATAAAATGTCAGAGGCTTAAATTCATTTGACTTTACTTGCACCAGGATTCTGTTCTCTGCAGCTCTGACCACACACGGCCATAGCTTCCACTGAAAACTAGAAATTAAAAATGTCTGTTTACTACTTTATCAGTTTTCTGTCTGAGTTTATGCATTTATACAAAGACATATTCTGACAGAATGATACAAGGAGAAAATTGATTGATTGGGTTATGCTAGTAGTTTGTTAGCCACTTCATTAATATAAGTTTCAGCCACACTGCAGTCTTTCTTTTAAATCCATAAATAAGGCATTTTTACACAAGGGAGAAAGAAAATGCAATTTTTGTAAAAAAAAAAAAAAAATCTATTGCAATCTTCAAGTTCAACATAAAAAATGTCAAGTCTTTCTAATAACAGGGATGAGAAGTAAAAAATGTGGTTAAAAACAAAATCTGAGAAATGAAGGTCGTTGCCTTTGAGCAAAAATAATATTCAACTGTGGTTTAATGTTAATTAAATTTTTATTTTAAAGCAAATATTAAGTGGGGTACTTTCCCCCAGTACAAATGTTTGATAAGAGTTTATCTACATTAATCAGTTAATTTGAAAATATAAACAGTAAGCCAACATTTCCTGGATTCATTTCACATGTTGCAGCTTCTCATTTTCTCCACTAGGGGGCAGCAAACTACATTTACACGAATTTAAAGCCTGAAGAATTATATATTTTTAACTCTCATAAAAAATAAGAAATAAACTGATTTTTTTCTTCTTTTTTATTGTAAAAACAATTGAATATGAATGATGACATGATAAGTCCTGCCTTTTATTTATATTTTTTACTCAAGATGTTACAGTTGTGGCACAAAAAAAAAAAAACCTGAACATTTGCAAAAAAAAATAAAAAAAAGGCACAAAAAAAAAAAATCACAGCAAAGAGCAGTTTTAATCACCATAACCCACAGTTCTACAGGACCGATGAGTCAGAAGCATTAAGGGAACCAATCTGCTGCCCTGAATGTTTCTGCAGATGAACCTGAAGTAAACTTGACTCCCGGCAGAGGACGAGACCGACCTGTGCAACACGCAGACAATAAGGAACAGTTCTCGTACAAAGTCGTCACTTAGACTGATTAAGAAGAAAATGGAGCTCACTCTTATTAAAGGCAGTGGATTTGTTCGTTTCCTGGGATGTTAGGGTCAAAGGATGTCAGCGAGTGTTTTGATTAGTGAGCGTTGTGACAAACGCCTGCACGAGCAAAAATAATCAGGAGTCCAGCTGGGTTCTGACGGGAAACCCTCTTGAGTGTGATGTCCCTGAAATATATGATTCAAGTCTGGTTTAACAAAGCTTAAAAAGGCTAAACTAACCTTGACCTGTCCACACAGGGACTTCAGGTGTGCTACATATGTGTGATGTGTAGTGATGTAAGAGTTTTAGAGCCTCTGTCCTTCAGAGCTCTGATTGTTCTGTAGGTGCATTTAGCCCCGTAGGACTCAAATCCTTGGTTCTGTGACGTTTGTGCATCTAATGAATCCTCAGAGGAGTCAACAGGCAGAAGAACCCTGAATCATAAACACAGATGCTGCTTGCACTTTCTATTTAAAGAACAAAAGCAAAGTCACTTGTGAAACGTGCAAAATGAGGTCACAGTGCACTGAAGGCCAACTGCAGCCTCACACACACACAGAAACAACTTGTGTTCAGGATACAGCCCAGCACGTAACGAGAAGCACAACAATAAAAACCTGCAGAGGTGCAGGAAACAAACAGCTGTTATTCTCCAAGCTACATGTCAGTGAGAAGACAATCCCCAATGAGTGGACAGGTGTGACAAACAGGACCTGCGATCAGAATTCAAGACACAATCATTCCTGATGAGCAGCGTCCTGACAGCTGGACAACCTCTGCTGCTGATTTGTCCCAGTTGCTGCTTAAACAAAAAATAAATCAGGAGGTTCAAGTCTGACAGAAAACAGCAGCAGTGCAGAAAACCTGTTTGATCTGAGCTTAGAAAACAAGCACCAACCACCGAGCTCGTTACACTGCAGGTCCTGACGTTTCATCTTACCTGCAGTTTTAAATGGTTTTAGGCTTTTATTTATTTATGTTATACTAGAAAGGCTAAGTGCAGAATGAGCCATACTCTGTAATCAGCATCAAACAGTTATTGTGTGAATGTTTATGAAGCATTTACTGTGATCCATTTTTCTTCTGTACGTTTTTCTCGTTCCACAATTTTTTGTGCTATTTCTACAAATCATAAATCAAAACATTCAGCTCGTTCAGGAGAAAGGAGCTGTGACGTTTGGTATTGGTGCAACTTTAGCTTTTTGAAATATTTAGCCTTTTCTGCCACTTTTTCCTCACATGAAATAAATTGAGCTCATTTTACATCTTTCAAATCTTTAGATCTGTTTACAACCTTTTATTGCTCCTTTTACATTTTGTTCTGCTTCAGCTGCTTTGTGCAAATTTGAACTTTTTCAGCTACTTTCAGCTAATGTCAGCTGTTTTTCCACCGTTTTGTGATCTAACTACAACACTTTTGTGCTTCTAACTTCTTTCTGCTCATTTCAGCTTGTTAAGCTCCTTTCTGCTCATTTATGCACGTTTCAGCCTTTTCTGTTATTTCAGCTACTATTTTGCTGTTTTTATGCTTGTTTTAGCTTTTTCAGCTAATTCCACATTTTTTGCACTTGTCTGAACTTTTTTCAGCCCAATTAAGCAAAATTGTGCTTTTTCAACTTCATTCTGGTAATTTAAGCTACATTCAGTTTTTTAGCCATTTTTCAGATTTTTTTTTTTTATTTGTTGCTAATTTCATCTTTTATCAGATGATTTCCACTTTTTGTGCTCATTTCTGCTTTTTTTCAACCTAATTTGGCAAAATTGTGCTCTCTCCACTTCCTTCTGGTAATTGAAGCTTATTTCTATATTTTCAGCTACTTTTTTGCTAATGTCAGTGTTAGTTAATTTACTAATTTTTGTGCTCATTTCTGCTTATTTAAACCAAGTTAAGCAAATGTATTTTTCTTTCTTCTGCTAGCTTAGGTTTGTTCTTCCTTTTCAGATACATTTCAGCATGTTTTTAGCTAATTTCAGCTGTTTTTTAGCAAGTTCATTAGCAATAAGCATTCAGAGTCAGAGTCAGAGTTTCTTTATTGTCATTCGCACCTCATGTGGTACATGTGGTGGAGTGAAATTATGTACACAGGGTCCCAGTTACATCCAACAAAAGTATAAAATGTAAAAGAAAAACAGTATTAAAATCTAAGATATGAACTAAAAAAAACATCAACTAAATATACACTAAGCACTAATAGCATAAAAAAAATACATCGAACATCAGCACAAACATGAACATGAGTCTGTGTAAGCAGATGTGCACGCATGAACACATCTACATTGAAACAGATCAGCAGCAACATGATGTGATTTTTTTCACAGTGATTATTCTGGTTAGAGATTCATGAGTCTAACAGCCTCAGGGTAGAAGCTGCTCCTCAGTCTAGTGGTTCTACACTTAATGCTACTCAACCTCCTTCCTGAGGGGAGTGGGGCAAAAAGTGTGTGTGCTGGATGAGTGGGGTCCTTCATCATGCAGGTGGCTCTCTTCCTGCATCTGGAGGTGTAGATGTCTGTGATGGTAGGGAGTCTGACTCCAACAGTCTTCTGTGCAGCCTTCACCACTCTCTGCAAAGCTTTTCTTTCTGCAGCTGTGCAGCCTCCATGCCACACATTGATGCTCGAGCACAGGATGCTCTCCACTGCACACCTGTAGAAGGAGGTGAGGACTGAGCTTCCCAGACCAGCTCGTCTCAGCCGTCTGAGGAAGTAGAGTCTCTGATGAGCTTTCTTGATCAGGCTGGTGGTGTTGTTGCTCCAGCTGAGGTTGTCATTCATGTGTACACCCAAGTACATGTAGCTGGAGACCACTTCCACCGCAGATCCTCTGATGTTCAGAGGGGTGTAGGTGTTTTTGTTCCTTCTGAAGTCCACAATCATCTCCTTTGTCTTCTTCACGTTGATGTGAAGGTTATTCTCTTTGCACCAGCTCTTCAGGTGTTCCACCTCTTGCCTGTAGCTATCATCGTTTGTGATGCATCCCACCACCGCTATATCATCTGCAAACTTTACAATGTGACAGCCTAGATGGGTAGCTGCACAATCATATGTGAGCAGAGTAAACAGGAGGGGGCTCAACACACATCCCTGAGGAAAGCCAGTGCTGAGGGTTATGGTGGAGGAGGAGAAGTTCACGCTGTAGTTTTGCAGGAAATGCAATTTCTCTAGTTGTTTGCTCTCGTTTTCTGCGTGTTGTCAGCAGCTGAGAGTATGAATGGCCAACAAGGCACAGGAAAAGAAAATGATGCAGCTAGGACACATGAACTTCACCACTTGCTCTTGCCGAGGTCGGATGCTTTTCCCCTCCCTCTCCATTTTGCTGCTCTGTCTGTCTGTGAAACTGCTTCTGAGCCTCTCTTGCATATCTTCCGAACCATAATTATGGACTTGTTTTGATCAGTTGGTCCCTCAACTCAATTTACAACATTTCTTTGAAAAAAAGACAGGCTTTAGGCGAGCCGATTTGCCCTGTTGGCACGCACGCAGCTGGATATCTCATCGACTTGAAGACTTGATGATGTGTCTATCTCTGCTGCCATTTGTGTATTTTAAGGATGCATATTTAATTGGATTTATGATAACTGGTTCCTGC